CAAAAAACAATTCACTTGTAATTTTTCTGTACTCGAGAAATAATCAAATGGACAGTAGATGTAGCGGCAGCAGCATTTAAAACTATTTTTGTCGTAATCGAAGACGTTAAAAAAACTAAAATGGCCACGCCCACACTAAATATAAGCCCACTAACACCGGCGCTACAGCATAAGGCGATTGCCGAATTGAATGAAGTGCCCGAGCGTCTGGCCGTGGACATCGCTGCGTTCAGAGAATGGTTGCTAAGGCAACCACATTTGAAGTGCCGCACGAGCGATCAATTTCTTGTAAGTTTCCTGCGTGACTGCAAATTTAGTCTGGAGAAGGCGAAACAAAAATTGGACCTATACTATACTTTGCGTACGGCGATGCCTGATTTGAATCAGCACAGCTTCGTGAATGATCAACGGCTGCGCGTCATTATACGTTTGGGGTAAGCGAAAATTTCATATCATTTACATACATACGTATATTGGTTTAAATCACATACGATCTCCAGCGTTACGCTTTACTTGCCGCTACCGCTAATGGAGGATGGCCCATGCTTAGTGTTAATGCGCCCTGGCAAATACGACCCCAACAAATTCAATATGACTGAAATATTGCGTGCAAGATTCATATTGCAAGATATCTTTTTGATAAGCAGTGATAATTTGATTGTTGGTGGTTTTATGCAAATCGGCGACTTTGAGGACTTCAGCATGGCGCACTTCTTTCAAATTAGTCCATCGCTTATGAAACGATTTAGCTTGTATGTCGAAGAGGGCATGCCGGTGAGCATTAAAGGTTCACATTTCTTCAATACTGGCGCGGTATTTGAGAAAATGTTTGCCGCTATTAAATTGGTGATGCCAGCGAAAATGGTCGAAAGGGTGAGTTGAGGAGGCGAATGAAGACATAATTCATAAAAGGAAGCTTAAAAAATTTGTGGGTTGGAGGAACTGGAGAAGTCTGCCTCTTTTGCCTAGCACTACTTGGCAATTACATAAATAACTCTAAATACACTTCGGGGATTCACAAGTGGTGTTGAGAGTCTTATGCTGGGATTGCAAAATTTTGATGTGGCGTTTTTTTATTGCATAAAATTTCCAATTAGGAAAACCTGGCCCGCCGGGCAGACGCTGCCCAGCTGTAAATTAAGATCTTATCATTATACTAGAACTTACTCGGTTTAAATATATATCTATTAAGTATACCAAATTTAAAAAATTTAAACTCGCTGCAAGACCATACAAATTCTTAAATTTCGACTATTTTTGCAATACATTTACTATCCTAAAAAAACACATGATTATCAAAGCGCGCCTCGTCCCATTTACGCCCCGGGCGTCTTTGCTTCTAAAGCCGGTCCAGTTTCCTCGCTTCATTTTCGCGTTTTTTTATAAAATAGAAAGCAATTATCTTTTCCTGCATATTTTTATTTAATAAAAAAAAAAACAAAACATAATAAACATGAAATAAGCTTAAGCGCAGTAGCCAAAACTTTTCAAAATGCCACTAACAGGGCAATTCTGGCAGTTAACTTTAGATGCGCATGTGGCCTGCAACTCCAGCAGGGCATCCAAGTTTAAATGAATGGAAAGAAAGAAAATATAAGTTTGATTGTTACAATGATTTTCCACGCTTTTCAGCATAAAACTAAAAATAATACTTATTTCAATATATTCAGTACTTACCACCATTTCACAGCTCCAAGTGCACACCACGTTTGAATCGCTTTGCGAAGCCGTACCCATAAAATATCTGCCAAAGGAATATGGTGGTGAGAATAGTAGCATCGAGGAGATTGTTGCTAGAACTGAGCAGTTAATTTTGGAATATCGTGAATATGTATTGGAAGAGAAGTATTATGGTGTTGATGAGAAGCTGCGAGTGGGCGGCGGTGCATCTAATACCGCAGCATTATTGCGTTTGGAAGGTACATTTCGAAAGCTGGATGTGGACTGAACAAATAGAAAATAAGAAATTCGAGTTAAGAATATGATATTTGTTTGTGCTAAGAAATTACTTAATTAATTTAATACTGTAAAAACTAATAAATGCAATAAATAAATATCAAAGTTAAGTATTTCTTCAGAATTTAAAATTTCGCAGAAATACATATAAATATGCTTTAAACTTGTACATTGAACCGTACCACCTTACAAGCAACCAAAAATAAAAGTTCACCGTATACGGTATACCTCAAGAGAATTACACCTACAATAGCTGAATTTTGGAGAGCTTCAATTTACTGAAATTAGCGTGGTAAATTATTGTGATAAAAACTGAGCTCTGGAGGCTAAGTACCAGAACGGGGTACTCGAAGTCAAGGAACTTTGGAACAAAAAAAAAATCTGTTCTCAAAACCAAAAAATATCGATATACATAATTTAAGATCCAACTATAAATGCTGCAGATAAGACGAAAAATGTCAAAAGGCGACCCCTAAGTTCAGCCAAAAATAAATTTTTCTTGCAAAAATGCTTTAGAATCAGGTGCATACGGCGAAAATTTTTTCTGCTACGGTCTGTTGCACAAACTAAATTATTATAAAGAATATTTTTACTTTTCACCAGAAAATGTGGTCGTTTGTACTCATGTACCCTCTATGAATTTTTGCTTCACGTACTTTTAATTAAAAAAAGTACTTACTATTCGGCAGATAACGATTTTATCTGATGTCAAATTTTTATTTATCAGCCTAAGCATTTGTTTGCATTTTACTTTTGATTTATATGATAATTAGGCTTTACAGTAAAGTGGTAAGTAGTACACATTTGCGAGCGTATTACATAATTATTACTGTCTCGCCAAGTGAATTTATGTTATACATAGATAAGTACTTTTAATAAAGCTGTAGATTAAAAATATTGTCGCTTTTATTATTCGTTGTCATTGTTGTTAAAAAATAGTACCCGCGTATTTATTATCTGCTGTTACTAGCGTATGATGATAAGTTCCATTTGATTTATCAATGGCTTATCTCAACCTTGGCGGCTGCCGTAGCCGAATAGTCACAGGTGCACCCAATTTCGATCCTCGATCCCCGCAATATCAAAAAAAAAGTTTTAAAGAATGTTTTCTAACAGCAGTCGCTACTACGCAGACTACATATGTCAAACAGTGTGTACATCTGCCTTGAAAAAACTTTTGTACTTGTCATATTTTTACACTGAGCGATACAAACCATGCTAATCATACTAGAGATGTGGAAAATTGGTAGGATCATGCCTTTTTTCAACCAGCACCTAACTCCAGCCTGGAACCCGAAAAATGCCCAGCATTATTACGACAGTATTGAACGCCATCGACACAGCTAGTCGATGATCTGATCGCAGTTGGTCTGTGAAAGTCATTCGAAACGATTAACCACACGACCGCTTGCCAACTCATCCAGGACTCATAGTTCGGACAAGATTGTAGATAACCAGCTAAAGTGGAACGCATCACCTCCACGACAAGTCACCGTGAAACCATCCCAATAACGCTTTGTTTAGAAATGATAAGCCCGCCTACAAGTGAGACGATTGGAGAACGGACATCGAGCAGTACGAAGACCATTCGCGAGACGCGAAAGAAAGCCAAGCCATGCTGCCATGACGAGCCTTGTACCCGTAAAGACAACGACGTGCTATGAGGTCGAACACCGCTCATTAATGTATGCAGGCGAAGCAGAACTACAGAGACCAGGAGTACCCTAGCGCTGCTTCGTACCGAATGGTTTTACAGGTTCCAGATAGGGCCTGTTCGACACACGTAATAAAAGCGACATTACTGATGAAAATTTGCAACATTGTTGCAACTACCCAACTGATTATGTGTTGCTAGAAATTCCCACCGAACGTGATACTTTAATAATTCGGGCAATACTGCGATTATGATTCCATATCGAACAAGCCCATAATGTCTCAGCTGAACTCAGAAATGGCAAACACCCATCCCACGACCGCAGGCAAACCGAGTCAGAGGATGAAAAGGGCACAACCTGGCAACACCCGTAGGGGATTGCGAGAGGACTGCCGTCAATGTGATGAAAATGAAATTAAAATACATCAATGATTTGCGTAAGAAATTTGTGTCTTAATTTTATTCTATACCAGGTTTCTTGGCAGCTATAACTAGAAAACGGTTACCCTTTAGCCAAAGTAAAGAAACAAATTAAGTTTTGATGAAAGCTATGACACATTTGTCCTATAGATTATATTTATTATAATTTATATAAATTATTATTCACCCTCATTGCGAGAGTTGTGTCGTATGCAAGTCGTTTTTCGAGTGTCGAATCGTATCGAAAATTTCACGTCATTGCCTAAAATTTCCACTCGACTAGTGTATTAAAACGGAAACACTTGGCAGCACTGTATAGTTTTCGAGAAATTTCGTTNCGACTAGTGTATTAAAACGGAAAAACTTGGCAGCACTGTATAGTTTTCGAGAAATTTCGTCGTTTACTTTCTTCAGAACGACAGTAAACAATGTCAATGTTGTCGAGTCGTACAATTTAGCCTAATTTACGACTTACGCAATGAGGCTGATTACCTTTGTTTTTGTTCGAGGTAAAAACCTAACTAAAAACTTTAAAGCCGCTTTCCGTTTTTTTGTGATCTTTAGGTATAACGTAGCGTTGCGATAGAACTTAAGATTTAAAAGAACTTTATTCCTCAAATGAGGTTTAGAAAGCGTGTTATGAATGTCGGGTATCATTAAATAAGGAACGCAATATTAATTTTATTTTATAATATATAGCAATACTAGCATACCAATTAATCTCACAATTTAAACCTATGTAAATATGTACATTTGAATGTAAAAAATTCACAAAAAAATCAGGACACACCCAGGTATATGTAGCAATCTGTTCGCAATTCACTCTCCTTTCACGTCTAATGCCTTTTACGAGTTCTTTTGCGAGATCTTGACAATCACACTCTTCACCTCGGTGTAGTTCTGCAACGCATATTCACCATTTTCCCGTCCATGACCGGACATCTTGTAGCCACCGAAAGGCGCTTGCGCGGCCAAAGCATTATATGTATTCACCCAGACTGTGCCAGCACGCAAACCCTGCACCACATAATTGGCCTTATCGATGTCGCGTGTGAAGACAGCCGCCGCCAAGCCGTAGTCGGAGTTGTTGGCACGCTCAATCACCTCATCCAAAGTCTTGAAGCGAATGAGCTGTTGCACAGGACCGAAAATCTCTTCTCTCGCGATTGTCATGTGATCGTGCACATCAGCGAATACAGTGGGTTCTACGAAATAGCCGGGCAGATGGTTGGGACGATTGCCGCCTGCTACTAGCTTGGCGCCTTGCTTTTTGCCCTCCTCAATCATGCCAAGTATACGTTCTTGCTGCACTTGATCAACCTGCGGCCCTTGTTCGACATGTAATTCAAAAGGGTTGCCAAGCGTACGCTTCTTGGCACGCTCAGCGCTGCGTTCAACGAATTCATCGTAGATTCTATCTTCTACAAAAGTACGCGAACCAGCGCAACAAGTCTGTCCCATGTTGAAAAAGAGCCCAAAGTGCGCAGACTCCACAGCGAAATCCATATCAGTATCGGCCAAAACAATGTTCGGGCTCTTGCCGCCCAATTCTAAAGTAACACGCTTTAAATTGCTGTGACCAGAGGCTTGCTGTATGAGTTTGCCCACTTCAGTGGAACCGGTAAATGCAACTTTATCGACATCGAGGTGATTGGCCAAAGCGGCGCCAGCATCGCCGAAGCCAGGCAGCACATTAACTACACCTTCTGGGAAGCCAGCTTCTTTTATCAACTCAGCAATGTAGAGTGCAGTTAAGCTAGTCTGTTCAGCGGGCTTTAGTACAATGGTATTGCCAGTGGCCAGCGCTGGTGCCAATTTCATGGACAACATGACAATCGGGAAGTTCCATGGAATGATTTGGGCGCACACACCAACAGGTTCGTGACGTGTGTAAGCAAAGAAATCGCCGTCCATGGGTATGGTCTTGCCATGATTCTTATCAGCCCAGCCGGCAAAATAGCGTAAATTCTTAATTGCGAGGGGCACATCTACATTGTAGGCGACCGCATAGGGTTTGCCGTTGTCCAACGTTTCCAAGCTCTGTAAAAATATAAAGTGTTAAAAATGTGATGTTTTTCAATGGAAATAAACTTACCGCCAAGTAGACGCGATCGCGTTCAATCAGATCAGCCAAACGATTCAAATAAACACCACGATCGGAGGCATCCATGCGGCGCCATGGTGAACCGGTTCTGCAGGAGTGGAACAAATATTATTATACATATTTTATTTCGAATGAATGCAATTGGTTCAACGAACTTGAAAGCATTGCGTGCGGCCTGCACAGCGATGTCTACATCTTCCTTGCCGGCGCACTGAATTTCAGCGACCTGTTTCTCTGTAGTTGGATTAATGGAAGGGAATGTTTTTCCACTTTTACTCTTGTGCCATTCGTTATTGATGAAAAGCTGTAAATAGAAATTGAGATAAAAGTAAAAAAAACAGCTCTGGGAGATAAGAGATTTGCTTTCTGAGAGAATCAAAGCCTGTGCATTTGGGTGCATCACTGTTCATACAACAAAAAAAAAATTGGAACCTTGTTTTCATCGGAATTATAAAATTATATTATTATATTTACTTTCGCCAAAAAATTATTTCGGAAAACATTTTAATCCTCATTAGTCCTTAGGATAAAATTTTACCCTGTTCAAATTTTAGTCTGAATCGCTCACTTGTCCTATCATCCAATTTGTTTACTTTATTTTTGCTGCTAAAAAATTCTAANGTTTAATGAGGCTATATACAACTTGTATAATAAAAACAACTTAAATTTGTTAAACATTCATAAAAAATCGCTAATATCTGCTATCATTAAATGGTAATAGGTCATATATAGACACCCGGCTAATAAAGAAATTCATTTAAACAAATTTTAATACATATATGAGATGATCGTAAACGAAAAATAATCAATAAAAAAAGGTACCGGTCCCCGACGTAATAGAAAAACTGCAGCCGGTCCGTCACACTCAAAAGTTTGACGAGCACTGCTCTAAGTAATATTCGAATATACATAATAGTAGAACACTGAAAGCTATAACTCATCTACAGCGCTGGCACGTCAATTAGCACTGTCTGTCTAATATTATCAAATATTACTTGTAGATGCAAAGGTTTCTTAGAGTCATAGCCAGGTTCACGAAAGCAATTTAAGTGATTTTTTTTTTTTTAATTTTATATGAAAACTGACAGAAGGGGAAGAAAGGCTTCAAAACTTATTAAAAACAAATTTTCGTAATTTCGTTCTACAAAGTCTACATAAGCTCGAGGGAAGTTAAAAATACTTCTGATAGTTAAGAAAATACAATATTTAAAAGGTCCTCAGAGCAATGTTGGTTCTTTCATTTCATTTTGGAATTATTTCACATAGAGTGCACAATATAATGGAGGTCTTATGGCAGAACTAACGTACGACGTAGTCTTGTCAAAGGATTGTAAGGCAGGGATACACAGCCCAAACATATTTATACTATAATAGAACTGCAGTTGTGGCAACTAAATTCAGGAGCTGGTACTAGCTGATTTTTTTCTTCTAATAACTGGTAAGCCTGGGCTCGAATCGTCACATACGATATCGCATTATTCGTCACAGTTTTCGGATTATGACATAAGTGAACGTACTCTTTATCCCATTCGGCTTATACGACTGACGTGGACGGATGCTACGATTCGAGCCCTGGTCTAAGCTATGCCACAAATACGGCGAAATTCGTGGTGGTTTTATGATATTTAAGCTACTCCACANTTTTTTTTTTTGCTATTGTTAGCAGTTGGTCCCGAGGATCATGAATGACCCTATTGTCACATAACAGAAAAACTTTCACTTTTCATTGAGATTTAGGAGGAAAACTCTCCGTGGAACCAATGCCGGCCACTTCGTTCAACAAACACAGAGCACTGGAGCCAGAACCTCACAACCAACAAATAAAAGTGGACGATGTTTTTTTTGTGAGTATGACAATAAGCAAAGTAATAATCCGCCAAATGTGACATGTGTCACAAATTTCTGTGCAAAGACCACCACAATAAACTTATAAATAAACCAATATCAATGAAACAGCTCCACACATTCATTTTTTTTATCAAAAAAAAAAAGGATTAAGTTTCGCAGGGTCAGAAATTACCATGGTTTAAGCTGAGGAGATTTTTGGAAAAACTGTTTTTAAACTATATGATTTTATTCACAAAAAACTAACACCCAAATTCATAAAAAATAATGAACACCTTAGGGAGGCGCCCTAATGTGCATACGTTCATATTTGCTAATCATAAATGCAGTTACTTTAATTTTGATGAAGTGATGAACTAAAAACTTAATAGCATCTGCAGCTGATAACAGATTCATTACCCTACGTACATATTCGAATATACATAGTAGTAGACAAAAGCTATAACTCATCTACAGCGCTGGCACGTCAATTAGCACTGTCTGCACTGAAAGCAATTTAAGTGATTTTTTTTATTTTTATTTCATATGAAAACTGACAGAAGAGGAAGAAAGGCTTCAAAACTTATTAAAAACAAATTTTCGTAATTTCGTTCTACAAAGTCTAAGTTCGGGGGAAGTTAAACGTACTTCTGATAGTTAAGAAAATACAATATTTAAAAATTCCTCAGAGCAATGTTGGTTCTTTCATCTCATTTTGAAATTATTTAGCATAGAGTGCCCAATAAAATGGAACTAACGTACGACGTAGTCTTGTCAAAGGATTGTAAGGCAGGGATACGCAGCCCAAACATATTTATACTATAAGCGAACTGCAGTTGTGGCAACTAAATTCAGGAGCTGGTACTAGCTGATTTTTTTCTTCTAATAACTGGTAAGCCTGGGCTCGAATCGTCACATACGATATCGCATTATTCGTCACAGTTTTCGGATTATGACATAAGTGAACGTACTCTTTATCCCATTCGGCTTATACGACTGACTCCTGTATTTTCACNCTATTGTCACATAACAGAAAAACTTTCACTTTTCATTGAGATTTAGGAGGAAAACTCTCCGTGGAACCAATGCCGGCCACTTCGTTCAACAAACACAGAGCACTGGAGCCAGAACCTCACAACCAACAAATAAAAGTGGACGATGTTTTTTTTGTGAGTATGACAATAAGCAAAGTAATAATCCGCCAAATGTGACATGTGTCACAAATTTCTGTGCAAAGACCACCACAATAAACTTATAAATAAACCAATATCAATGAAACAGCTCCACACATTCATTTTTTTTATCAAAAAAAAAAAGGATTAAGTTTCGCAGGGTCAGAAATTACCATGGTTTAAGCTGAGGAGATTTTTGGAAAAACTGTTTTTAAACTATATGATTTTATTCACAAAAAACTAACACCCAAATTCATAAAAAATAATGAACACCTTAGGGAGGCGCCCTAATGTGCATACGTTCATATTTGCTAATCATAAATGCAGTTACTTTAATTTTGATGAAGTGATGAACTAAAAACTTAATAGCATCTGCAGCTGATAACAGATTCATTACCCTACGTACATATTCGAATATACATAGTAGTAGACAAAAGCTATAACTCATCTACAGCGCTGGCACGTCAATTAGCACTGTCTGCACTGAAAGCAATTTAAGTGATTTTTTTTATTTTTATTTCATATGAAAACTGACAGAAGAGGAAGAAAGGCTTCAAAACTTATTAAAAACAAATTTTCGTAATTTCGTTCTACAAAGTCTAAGTTCGGGGGAAGTTAAACGTACTTCTGATAGTTAAGAAAATACAATATTTAAAAATTCCTCAGAGCAATGTTGGTTCTTTCATCTCATTTTGAAATTATTTAGCATAGAGTGCCCAATAAAATGGAACTAACGTACGACGTAGTCTTGTCAAAGGATTGTAAGGCAGGGATACGCAGCCCAAACATATTTATACTATAAGCGAACTGCAGTTGTGGCAACTAAATTCAGGAGCTGGTACTAGCTGATTTTTTTCTTCTAATAACTGGTAAGCCTGGGCTCGAATCGTCACATACGATATCGCATTATTCGTCACAGTTTTCGGATTATGACATAAGTGAACGTACTCTTTATCCCATTCGGCTTATACGACTGACGTGGACGGATGCTACGATTCGAGCCCTGGTCTAAGCTATGCCACAAATACGGCGAAATTCGTGGTGGTTTTATGATATTTAAGCTACTCCACACAAAGACGTGCTCATCAAAGCGCCACTCCTGTATTTTCAATCTGTGGCTATGAATAGACGCTTTCAATAATAATAAACACAAGCAGGCTATTTTGCGGAAGAGACGATTGAAGCGATTGTAAATCGATTAGTTTAAACATTTGCATGTACATAGGTATGTTCATATGTATTTGAAAAACTACTGGTAAACATATAGTGCCTTTGCTGCAAGAGTGTCATAATCCAACAAACCAAAAACCGAGAAAAAAGAATTTAAATTAAAGTTTAGATACGCTGCCATGGTAAAAATTAAGACAAATTTTCTTCTAATGGGCTGTTGTTATTCGATGGACCTATGACACTTTTACGCAACATAGAAGAAGAGGTGGCAGTCATTCTGCATACTTATTTAGGTCAAAAACGAAAAAAAGTTGTTTTCTGTTTGATTATGACACTCTTTCAGCAAAGGTACTATATGAATTTACATACATACTGCATGCACGTGTATTTAAAATAAGAGAAACAAACGCATTGTATGTACTCACCCCTGTGTAAAGGACATCAGGATTAACATGCGGTTCCGGCACTTGACTGGAATATTTCGCCACTCCACCATTCAGAGCGGCTGTTAGTGATTTGCTGGATGAAACCAGCGCCGCGTTACTTCGCAACAAGCGTAGCATCACTTTTAGTTACTTAGCACTATTTTGCACCAAAGTAAAATTAAAAATTAAGTAATATTTAACGCGAATGCTAAAAAATGCCGAAAAATTGATTCCTTCGAATGTCAGTGCGATTTATATTTTCGTATTAGTCTGCGCCGCAGCTGGTAAGCACACTAGACCTCTTTTTGCTGTCAGGCGTTGATGGCAACTGATGGTCGACAAGCAGATGCCCCACGTACATATATGTCACACATATCTATGTAAATATGTACATATTTAGTTTTTGTCTATCATTGCTTTTAAGTGCGTATGCTAATCTCAACTGTGCATTTAAAGTTTTTGCTGAAAGTGTAAGTGTGATTTTATCATTTTACAGCGTCATTCATAAAATAGGAAACAGATTTAGAAGTTGTTTGCTTAAATTAGCCGAAGCAATTCACATATCATAAAACAGTTACTGAGTATTGTATATATATATTTTTAACTTACACTGGCGAGAACTGAGTGCATGGTAATATGTTTCAAATTAAGTGTCTTTGTATTTTAATATTTTGCCGGCTCGAGGTTTTTTTTTATATTTTTTTATAAAAATATGTTTCATGTTTTAACCAAACCCATATAAACAACTTAAAAAAATTTAACAAATTTTCATACAAATTTTGAGCTTTTTCTTCTGAATTGAAAAAAAATAGGAATGCAGTTACATGTCTCACGAAATTTTTATAAAAAAGCGGCTAAAAAAATACGTTAATTTTTAATATTTTTTTTTTGCCGACGCTTTTTGCAATTTTTTCAAATACAGTTTTGATCCTCATAGCCAGTTTCACGAAAGCGATTTAAGCGAAAAATTATTATTTTTTATTTGAATTCAATCAAAAAAATAATTTTTCATTTAAATTGCTTTTTGGTATCTTATCTCTTGCTGTTATTTATAGTAAAATTATTAAATTATTATTCTAAGAATATACGATATACGCGCTCTTTGAAAACGTATCACAAATAAAATAGTAATAAAGAAAATGCGATTTTGGTTATTTTCAGGACGTAGCTAGGACGATTTTAAAACTTTTTATAAACTTCTTTCTCTAGCATAGTGACATACCCGCGCCGTTTCTGAGATTAATGGTATGATTATGTATAGCAACGAAACCTCAATTGGATTGCAGATAGGCAACGCCACTGATATTAGAATGTGTATTATGAATAGCAACTATAGTTAAGAATTACAAAGTTGAAGATAAGCAAGCAAGAATGTAAACAAGCTGCAGAAACAGTTTCTCAATCAAAATTTCCCCGGCAACCATAAAAAATTAGTTGCCATTATAGCAACTCAGATGCCTGCAGTTAGTAGTTGTCATTCGTAATACCTTTCAGCCACTGGTAACGCAACTTAAGATCGGTTACAATCCGTAATCGACCCATTTGTACTAATGAAAAATAATTTTTTTTGTAGAAATTTTATATTAGGTTGCCATTAGTGTTTAATTTTTGGTATTTTCGATTGTTTACTACTTAAACTCAGAAAAAGAGGTGTTCGTTTCCCTCAATTAATCCGTTACCTGTTTTGAAAATATTATTAATATCATTAAGAACTTGACACAAAAACTGCTTCTTGCGTGCTTTGGTGGAACCCCTTGGGCAGTGGCATAAAAACTAAGCAAATACATTTTCTTAAAATTTCAGACCTTTTACTCGATTTGTTCAAATTACTTTAAATGAAATATATAACATTTTAAGAAAAATCAATTGCTTAGTTTTTATGCATACTGCCCCTTGTACACTTATTTTTAATAATGGTAATATTTATATGACCGCTACTGTACACACATACATATTTGCCAAGATTTCAGAATGACAGATGTATTTTTGATGACGGAATAAAAATGTTTAGCCTAAAAAATGTGCGAAGCGGTAAAAGTATCAACAAAAACGTATGTATGTACACACAGTACCTCGCCAAATGATTAGAAACAGTACACAGTATACGATTTTTTTTTATTTCAATTGTTTTTTTTATAATGGTATAATTCATCCAATAGCATCTACATAATATGCATATATTATATGGATAGATTTCATTCATATTTTCGGAGGTTATACTTTGCATACATACATATACGGTCCTATTATAGGCTGCTAGAAAACTCGATAGGTAGCGCTAGAAAATCTTGTTGAAATTTATCATGATAAACAATGTTTCTACAAACATTAGACCCAATAGATTGCGGAGCAGGCGAAATATATAGAAATCTCGTATGTCTGATCTGCTTTAGCCCTATGTTTATGTTATACGAATTTGCTTTTTATATGTGCATTTAAAGAGCACAAAATTTTGTAAGCACACCTTTGTATCACGCCCTGATATTAGAGATGCCAGATCGAAACAAAAAAAAAATTATTTTTTAATCGATTCGAATTGAAATAAAAACAAGTAAGAGCAGCGCTGTCTTCGGCTATGCCGAAGGCTTCATACCTTTCATGAACATCTGCAAATTTTACTTTGACAGATTACTGCTTTTGAATACATCTGCATACATCGATAGAGGAGTTACATACTTATATAAAAAATCGCATCTAAACAATCAGAGG